CGGCTGGGGCTTTACGGTTTCGCCTCTCCCCGTCTGGAGGCGAGACGGGGCTGAGGGTCCCGTGCCGTTCCACAGGGCGGGTCTCCAGAATACGCAGGCGCCGTAGCCGCCTCCGGCCCGGGCGCTGCCTGACAGGTCTGCTGTGTCCACGCCCGGTGGCATGAGAGGGCAAGGCGCCATCCCAGCTATCAGCGTAGCTGCGCGGTCTGCCCGGGTGGGCCCGGCCCCCGAAGCGCAGCTGGTCCCGTTAGTGAGCTGGGCGAAACCATCTTCTTTTGCTTTTAGGGAGCGACTCTCTGGTCAGGGTTAGTTGTCTCTAGTTTGTGCTGCCGCCTCATCTTCCATCGTCGTCGTCGTCGTCATCATCATCATCATCTCTTCATTAATTCTTACACCACCCGCTTCCCGGCAATTCTTTTTCCCCTCAGCTGCCTCTTTCCTTTTTCTCCCACTCTTCCTGTATATCGACCTTATTGTAGGTTAGTGGTCAAAGACGCCTAAGAAAACCTTGGGCCTGCCTGTGCCTTTTTAAGCCCCAGGGGAGCTACTGCTCCAGACACCCCACAGGCCCCCTTGTTGGGATCGCAATCAGCATCAGAGGAAACCTCCTCCTCGTCCTCCTCCTCTAACCTTCCCTCCCTCCCCCAGGAATGCAGTTACACACGACAGCACAGCGGTGTTCCCGTGTCTCTGGGGAAGCGAGGTCCCCGCACCCGGGCCTGCGGCTGGCCCAGGGTCAGTCCTCCACACGCATCCTGGGTTATCTCTTCTCACAGCAAACGAACTGTCTCCTTCCTAGCCCCACCCTTGGGCCTGCATTTTCAGGCCCTGCGTGGCTCCCAGCGTGGTGTGTCCTCGTGCTTCAGGCTGTTAGGGTCAGCCGTCAAGCTGAAAGTGGCTCAGCTCAGAGTTGTGCCATTCATGCTGCTGATTTTGCTTTGGAGGCCCAGAATTCTTGCACAGGCGACTCCCGTGTCTCTGCTTTAGGTTAAGCTCTCATAATAAAAAAAAATGGGAAATTGTTCCAGTGGACCTGATGTATGGAAATGATACAGGTAGTCCTCACTTAATAACCACAATTGGGACTGGCAAGTCCATAGCTAACCAGTGTGGTTGTAAAGCAAGACATCACATGACCGTGACCTGCGATTTTACTGCCAGCTTCCCCATCGACTTTGCTGGTTGTGAAGTGTGCAAATGGCAATCGTGTGACCACAGGACACTGTGACGTTCATAATTGTGAGGACCGGTCACAAAGTTACTTTTTCAGTGCTGTAACCCAAAATGGTCACTAAACAGGGCAGTCGTTAAGTGAGAACTACCTGTATTGTTAACTGGCAGCTGTGATTCTCCTGGGTGTGAGAAGGATGCCTGTAGCCTGGCTGCCTTTTGGCTACAACATCACCCTCCCACTAGGCTTTCCTTGGAACTGCTCTCCCTACAAGAATGAAATTCTGCCTGGCTTCCGTGGATGGAGATGCTTGGGCTGCTGGCTGGTCCGTGGGCGTACATGGAGAAGTGGTCGCTTGGGTGCTGTGCCACTGGCATATCTCATGGCCAGAAGCCCACGCGTGGCACAAAAGGTCATGGCTTCCCCTTCTCGTTCCTACAGGTGCTACAGCAGTGCTGGATGGTGCAAGACATGGAACGTTTTGCCAGCTCCGGGACCCAGACAGATGCTGTGGTGGTGCTGTCGCTGGCACAAGCCGCTGTCCTGGGCCTAGTGTCCGAGAATGAGTTCTTTGGAGGCACGGTCAATCCAGATAGCATTTTCTCCAGCTTTGCAGGGAAGCTGGATGACGCAGCAGCTGTTGAAGCGAAGCAGCCCGAAAGCAGCAACTCAGCAGGCCCAGCTCAGGCAGAGCCCCTCGAGGAAGAGGAGGGGCTGGAGGCAGAAGCCCCCTTCGGGAAACAGGCCCGGAGGAGGAAGCGGCCCCCCATGCGCCTGGTGCCAAAGGTGAAGCATGAGAGAGGTGAGAAGGAGCAGGAGGAGCAGGAGGAGGGGGAGGGCCCCCCCGAAGCGCCCATGCCCTCCAGAGGCCCTGGAGAGCAGGCAGATGGCGGCAGCCTGGAGGAGCCCTGCTCGGAGCAGACCGGGCAGAGCAGCACTGGCAGGATGGCTGGCGTCAGCCCATTCAGCAGGCGGCCTCAGCCACTGCAGCCTCCACGAAGGCCTGCGCAGCAAGAACACTCCTTGGGGGCATACGAAGAAAGGTTTCCGAGCCCCCCCCAGGCCAGCCTGGACAGAGCAGAAGCCTTTTCCAGCGGCTGCAGCTTTCCCCCTGGCCTGCCATCCCTGAGTGGCATGGAGAACCCGCTGCCAGCCTCTCCCCCAGAGCAAGGCAAGAGCGGAGCAGGCTTTGCATGGCAGGAGCCCCTGGACTTTGAGGCAGAGACCCCCGGCGAGCACAGCAAGAAGGTGCACCTGGATCGCTTGGACATCAACGTCCAGATTGATGATTCCTACCTAGTGGAGAAGCGCTGGCAGTGCCGCCTGTGCGAGAAGTCCTACACTTCCAAGTACAACCTGGTGACCCACATCCTGGGGCACAATGGCATCAAGCCACACTCCTGCCCCCACTGCAGCAAGCTCTTCAAGCAGCCCAGCCACCTGCAGACCCACCTGCTCACCCACCAGGGCACCCGGCCCCACAAGTGCCAGGTGTGCCATAAAGCCTTCACCCAGACCAGCCACCTCAAGCGCCACATGCTCTTGCACTCAGATGTCAAGCCCTACAGCTGCCGCTTTTGTGGCCGTGGTTTTGCCTATCCCAGTGAGCTGAAGGCCCACGAGGGCAAGCACGAGAGTGGCCGCTGCCACGTCTGCGTGGAGTGTGGCCTAGACTTCTCCACGCTCACCCAGCTCAAGCGTCACCTGGCTACGCATCAGGGGCCCACACTGTACCCATGCCCAGAGTGCAACAAGTCCTTCCACTACCGCAGCCAGTTGCAGAATCACACCCTCAAGCACCAGAATGTGCGACCTTTTGTCTGCACCGAATGCGGCATGGAGTTCAGCCAGATCCACCACCTCAAGCAGCATTCGCTGACCCACAAGGTAGGCCAGAGCCCATGGGTGGGTCGTGCGGGGGGCTCCTGAAGCCCAAGGCATGTGGCGGCCTGCCCATCCGGCTGTCCTGGCTGGAACTGCTTATGCTGGTGGGAAGGCTTCCCTTGCCCAGGTGTTTGCTCTCCTTTGAAAAGGCCTTGATACTCGCCAGGGCACTAGGCAGGAAGCCTGTCCGGGCGGTGGGCATCGGTGTCAACTTCCGTTTCTTTCAGGGTGTGAAAGAGTTCAAGTGTGAAGTGTGTGGGCGAGAGTTCACGCTGCAGGCCAACATGAAGCGGCACATGTTGATCCACACAAGCGTGCGCCCCTATCAGTGCCACATCTGCTTCAAAACCTTTGTGCAGAAGCAGACGCTCAAGACTCACATGATTGTGCATTCGCCAGTCAAGCCCTTCAAGTGCAAGGTAGGGGCTGGGATCTGCCAGAAGAGCAGCAGTGGGGGAGGCGCAGGGAACGGCCAAGCTCGACATCTCTAGATGCCCCCCCCCAAGTTGAAAAACTAAAAATACAACTGGGGCCAATTTTAATTTTTAAAAATGTTCCAAGTGTTCATTTTAATTTGCGGGCCACCAGCCACGCTACACATTGCATGGTCTTGCTGGCCACCTGGAAAGGCTTCTGACCTCTGCTGGAAGGTCTGCTGCCTGATGCCCACCACTGGAGGACACCCTCTGGGGCACCCCCTCAGCCCCAGAGGTCTGTCTTGGCCGGGCAGGCCTGAGCTGGATTGCAGCTGGCCCTCATCCCAGGGCTAGGAAACAGGATGCCCCTGCCCACCAGCCAGGCATCCAGCCCTGCCCTCAACTCCTCTGTCTCCAGGTGTGTGGGAAGTCCTTCAACCGCATGTACAACCTCCTGGGCCACATGCATTTGCATGCTGGCAGCAAGCCCTTCAAGTGCCCTTATTGCTCCAGCAAGTTCAACCTGAAGGGGAACCTCAGCCGGCATATGAAGGTCAAGCATGGCGTGATGGACATCAACCTGGACAGCCAAGGTGGGTGGGGCGGGCAGGCTGGTGGAGGTGGGAGGGGGACAACGCACACCCCGAGGCAACCTGGGGTCTGCCTGCCTTTCTCCCCAGATCCGATGCTGGAGCTGGCAGGCACCAATCCCTCGGAATTGGACGGGCAGCAGGAGATGGACGACTACGAGGAAAACACGTACGACTATGGGGTGGTGGGGAACCCCACCAGTGGGTCTGCCTTGACAGAACAAACCATGAAGGAGATAGCATACTACAACATGTTGTAGTTGGAGCAGGAAGGGCCTGGCTGAAGGGGGGAGGAGGGGGCGGTTGTCCCCCCCCAGTGAAGCGGGACTCGTGCCGCACAGAACAGGAAAGCCTCTGAGCACGCGGAGGACCATGCTGCAGCTGCAGTCCTTGCTCTGCTACACCCTGCCGTGGCCCTCCCAGCTGCTCCTTGACCAGGCGTGGCTCTGCTGGTTGGTGGCCCCTGGGCTCGGGCACCAGCCTTGCAGAACAGCGCTTGCCTTATTCTACCTCCCAGCCCCTGGCCAGGGTGATGCTCAAGATCAGCCTGAGTCCTCGCCGAAGCGACTGGGGACCCAGAGCCCCCCGAGCGGCTCTTGGGAGGGTAAGCAGAACCCCCTCGGTTTGCTACCGGACCGGACCGCAAGCACGCGCCTCCCCACGAATGCCACAAACTACCTCTGCCCTGCACCCAGACAGAGCGGCCTAGGCCAGGAAGCCTGCCCGCCATCCAGTGGGACTCCGAAGCGCCCCCCTCTTCTTTTCGTGGCAGAACAGTCAAGGCCCCGCCCTGCACAGTCTGTGGCCATGTGATATTCCTGGGGTGATGCCATAAATTGGATTGCCCCTCTTGTGCATAGATCTACTGTGTTTATTTTCCAGTTCTGAAGAAGTTCAGCAATAAATGAATATTGTTTGGCAGACGGACTGGCTGTTGGTGCTGGAGCAGTGGTGGAAGTGCTTCTAGCAGGCGGGCGCCTCCCCAGAAAAGGGCCACTCGCAGGTACTGACTGCTGGCACTCAGGGAGAAGCCGTTGTTTAATAGCACCCAAGGCCCTGACCCAGCCACGCACGCAAATTACAGCACGGAGCCATTTTCTCCTCTGCTCACAAGAGCCAGCAGGCACAGCAGCGGGGGGGCACGCTCTTCTTCCCGAGAATCTGCAGCAGGGGCCTCACGAGCTTTAGGAAACATGCCAAAAAAAGCTCCTGCTGAAGCTGGAGGAGCCGCGTGCTCGCTTGGTGTCTCTACGTGACGCCCCCTCCTCTGCGCGCAGGCGTCCCTCTGCCGTGCCCCCTTCTCTCCTACTGCTTGCTCAGGGCTCTATCCAGGTTGTTTCGGATGGCATCCAGGAAGTCTGTGGTGTTCACGTAGTGCTCGTTCAGTTTCACGCTGAAGAGAGACAAAAGGGACGCAGGTTATTCTGGGGGAGCACAGGTGCTTCCCGACCCAAGCTGAGATGCTATGGAGGCTCACTTGCTTAATCCGTGGATGCAGCCAGCCAGATCCTTCGTCATTGTCCCGCTCTCCACTGTCTCCACGCAGACCTCCTCCAGAGTCTGGGCAAACCTGGTGAGGGCGGAGGGAAGGAGAGGATGATGCCTGAGAGGGAGGGAGCCGGGCCCCCTTTGGTGGGGGGATTCTTCCTGCAGCCAGACCAGGCCCAGTGCACAAAGCCCCCTGGCTCCCGCGGCTCCTCTCTTGCTGGTAGTGGAAGGTCCCGCCTCCCGTGCTGGTGCCCAAGACGGCCACAGGCCACTCTTACTTGACGAGCTCCGGGTTGCCGTCTAGCCGGCCTCGGTGCTGCAGGCCTCGGGTCCAGGCGAAGATGCTGGCAATGGGATTGGTGCTGGTGGGGTGGCCCTGGGGGGAAGACATAAGCAAAGCACACGTCTTCTGCAGACCTGTGGCGGCCTGGCCGTCTGCGGGCAGCACACCCCAGGGCTTCCCCTCCAGGCGCACTCACCTTCTGGTGCTCCCGGAAATGGCGAGTCACCGTGCCGTGAGCAGCCTCAGCTTCTATGGTCTTCCCGTCAGGACAGACAAGAACTGAGGTCATGAGACCCAGGGAGCCGAACCCTTGGGACAAAGCCAAACACCCATTGGACAGGTTCCACTTTACCCTCACCTCCCAGCCACCATCGAGGAGGAGGGGCACTGCACCCTTTGCTCATCCCACCTCTCGGTGCCCAGCGTCCCAAAGCCCTACATCTTCCCCAGAGGCATCCATGGGGCAGTGGCGTGAGCAGCCACCGTTATGGACAGTTAGCTCAACTAGGTGGGTCAGTTTTCCTGTCTGCAGGCTGTGGAAAGGGAGAAGGGCGCATCCCACAGGAAGAGCCAGATGAAGGACAGCTGCAAGGGGCATGCCTTTGCTTTTCTCCCCAGGAAGCAGTTTTGCTTTCAACCCTTTAGAAAACTAAATGGGGGGGGGGGCTTGGGGCTGAGCCCGTGCTGCTTCTCATGGAAGATG